TTAAGTGGTCTTGCTATGCAAGAACACTTAATAATAATAATATATATGTGAGATAACATTAAGTGGTCTTGCTATGCAAGAACACTTAATAATATATATGTGAGATAACATTAAGTGGTCTTGCTATGCAAGAACACTTAATAATAATAATAATATATATGTGAGATAACATTAAGTGGTCTTGCTATGCAAGAACACTTAATAATAATAATATATATGTGAGATAACATTAAGTGGTCTTGCTGTGCAAGAACACTTAATAATATATATGTGAGATAACATTAAGTGGTCTTGCTATGCAAGAACACTTAATAATATATATGTGAGATAACATTAAGTGGTCTTGCTATGCAAGAACACTTAATAATAATATATATGTGAGATAACAATAAGTGGTCTTGCTATGCAAGAACACTTAATAATTGTAAAATCCCACAGATATATATGACAAATAAATTGGGACCCTAAATCCTTCTGTCCTGAGTGTACTTGTGTAAGTGTCCATGTATGCAAATGTATCTGTGTGTGTTTGAGTGTGCCTATTTTGTGTGATGAAAAATAAAAACCATGTTACTCACTGTTGTCTATTTTCTGACTGTGCTTCAAATTCCTCCTGCTCCTGCAAACCTCTACCTCTGGCCTCTTTTAGGCATGAGACTGGGCTGAGGGCCTCATGGGAGTAGTGACAGCCTCCACTGTCACTTTGGTGGCCATTTAAATCTTTGGCCACTGTGTGGACACTGGGCTTTGATGCCGGGGCTGCCTTTGCTTGATAGTCCTGGTCTGAAGCTCTTCTGGCCTGGAGGGGTTGTGGCCCAGGGAGAACAGCACTGAAAGCAATGTGCTGTTCTCCCTCTCTATCATGTTCCTTCCCAGTTCCCACAATTCCCAGCAAAGCCACACATCATAGAGAAGCAACTACTCTATGATGTGGCTGTGCTGAGAATTATGGGAACTGTGAGGGAGCATGATAGTGAGGGAGAACACCGCATTCCTGTTTTCCCTCAGTCCTCCTGGGATGTCCTGCACTGCTGTCATTACTACTGAGACCTGCCAGACGGCCACCAACCTTAACTTTGCTGCGGCCAGGGACAGCCCCTCTGAGTGTGCCGCACTCACCCTCGATGCGGCAGCTCCCACTCTGTCTCTATCTCCCTCATAATCGGAGGGAAGCTACACAGCCCCAGGTGCCGTGGCCCATTGGGAGATTTCCCGGTATCCTGGTGGGCCAGTCCGGCCCTGAAGAGGACCCTGCTCAAACAAGCTTACAGTCTATAGCTCAGCTTGTGCAAAAACTGCCAAAATGCTATGTGTTAGCATAGAGTCCAAGAAACATAAAAGGTAGAGAATTTATATAGGCTTAGGCTGTTTGCGGTAGTTCTGCGTCAATGCCGCATCAGGGCGCCATGATAAAATGTATATAAAAGGCAAGGTTGAGATCCACTACAATTAAGTTACAAGGTGGGAAGAATGATGCAGCCCGGCCTATAATCAGAGATACTGCTAGAAGAAACAGCTAATATAAAGTTTGACGTAGTCACGTCAATTCAAGAGAGTGGGGACTGATATTGATGCAAGCATCTGAAGACCCTGGCATTAGAATGAATGTGCATCATTCTGGATAAGTGTTCTGCATTTCGATGTGGGTGCATTCACTGGCGTACATACCAGGGTCGCAGGGGTCGCGACTGCGACCGGGCCCGGCCCACCAGGGGGCCCGGCCGCCCCTGCGACCCGGTATGTACGCCCAGGGCCAGCCTCTTCCCCTGGGGGGCCCAGGAGGCGGCCACCCCAGGGCCCCCCGAGGCTGGCCCTGCTGACCCCAGCGGGCAGGTGGCCGGTCGGGCAGGCGGGCGCGCGAGGGAGCACTCAGTGCTTCCTCTTCAGCTCCCTCGCGCACCGCACTGATGCCGGAGCCGGAAGATGGCGTCATCTTCCGGCGCCGGCATCCCTACGCGGCGCGCGAGGGAGCTGAAGAGGAAGCAGTGAGTGCTCCCTCGCGCGCCCGCCTTCCTGCCCGACCGGCCACCCGCCCAGGAGCCCCACTGGACCCCAGGGAATAATCCCCCCCAGCACTCCAAGAGGTAAGGAGGCTGGGGGGATTATATTAAAAAAAATCATGTGTTAGTGTGTGTGAGTGTTAGAGTGAGTGTTAGTGTGTGTGAGTGTTAGTGTGAGTGTTAGTGTGTTAGTGTGTGTCTGCTAGTGAGTGTCAGTGAGTGTGTTACTGTGTGTGTCTTACTGAGTGTGTGTGTGTTAGTGAGTCTGTTTGATGTCTGTTAGTGAGTGTGTGTTTGTCAATGAGAGTGTATGTTTTGTAAGTGAGTGTGTATGTATGTCTGTCGCTGACTGTCTGTCAGTAAATGTGTGTGTCTGTTAGCTAGTGTGTATGCGACTGTGTGTGTGTGTGTGTGTCTTCAGCACTTACCTTTCTCCAGCGCCGGACTCCCTTGGCGCTGAGGATCCCTCAGCCTCTCAGCTCCGAATGCGACCGCGCACGCATTCAAACCGCCCATAGGAAAGCATTACTCAATGCTTTCCTATGGACGCTCAGTGTGCTCCTCTAGCGGCTGTCCGTGAGACAGCCACTAGAGGCAGGATTAACCCTCAGTGAAACATAGCAGTTTCTCTGAAACTGCTATGTTTTCAGCTGCAGGGTTAAAACTAGAGGGACCTGACACCCAGACAACTTCATTGAGCTGATGTGATCTGGCTGTCTGTAGTGGTCCTTTAAAGGACCACTATAGTGCCAGGAAAACATACTCGTTTTCCTGGCACTATAGTGCCCTGAGGGTGCCCCTCCCGCCCGGCTCTGGAAAGGGGTAAAACTTACCTTTTTCCACCGCTGGGCGGAGAGCTCTCCTCCTCCGATCCTCCTCTTCTCCTCCCCGTCGGCTGTATGCGCATGCGCGGCAAGAGCTGTGCACGCATTCAGCCGGTCACATAGGAAAACATTCATAATGCTTTCCTATGGACGCTGGCGTGCTCTCACTGTGAAAATCACAGTGAGAAGCACGCAAGCGCCTCTAGCGGCTGTCAATGGGACAGCCACTAGAGGAAATAGGGGAAGGCTTAATCCATTCATAAACACAGCAGTTTCTCTGAAACTGCTATGTTTATGAAAAAATGGGTTAACCCTAGCTCGACCTGGCACCCAGACCACTTCATTAAGCTGAAGCGGTCTGGGTGCCTAGAGTGGTCCTTTAAGTGTGTGTGCATCTGCATGCACTGGCGTACATACCGCGGTCGCAGGGGTCGCAGCCCTGTAACCCCTGCGACCAGGTGCCCACCGCCATGTGTTGCGGCCCGGCCCGCGCGGGGAGGGGGCCCACGGATCAATTTTCGCACCGGGGCCCCATGGGTCATGTGTACGCCACTGGGTGCATTAATCTTTGTAACTTATTTCTGGTGCAAGTGTATCATTCCCTTAAGGTTTTGTTAGTGTGTTTTGATGAGGAAGCATCAGTATTATTCGGCCACACAAACTATTAGTAGTTATAATTGGTAAAATATCAAGTTGTACTGCATTGATGTACAGAGGTAAATGAGGCAAACCGCAAAAAGACACATTAAACATTCAACAACAAAAAGCCTACTGTCCAGTGGATAATAATATAAGTACAAAGAAGGTGTACACCTTATCGTAAAAATAATCAACATTTTTAATCAATAAAAAATTATTTTAATAATTTTTGTCCTTTTATTAAGCTGGTTGCTACTGATGCCTCACAAACTTTACAGTCAAAGTATGTGCCCACTTGAAGGAAATCCACAAAAAGTCATCACACTACCATCTGCTGTCATTGTGATAAGAATAGTGAAATCTACAAACACACAGTGACATATCACGCAATTTACAGCGGACATAAGTCACTTCCTTCCTATTTTCCTTAATGTGTCAGATTACAATATTGCCATGGATACACATTGGTGAAACCTCTCAAAGAAACAGTGGTTATCTGGTTTGTTACCACTATAATATTGCAACTAACAGGCAGAAGTAATTCTTCATGATGTGTGTAGGAATTTGGGACTATGTAACTAGGCACAGTAAGCATGAATGTTATTTAAATAAATAGACAAGTTACGATGAGCACTGTTACAAGGTCTTGTACCCATCTCCCCTTAATAATTCCCAGCTCAGACAGCTACATGTGTGCAATCACAAATAAATTATTTTATTAAGTCATACCCATAATAATATTAAAGTATTTATCCAGAAAGGGGGCATTTAGATTTTGCTAGTTTCCAAGTACTCCTTGATGTGTAGATGATTTTACTACCCAACATAATGAAACATTTTTATCGGCTTCAGTGGGAAAAAAGAATCAACTGCAAAGGTGACATATACATCTGAATCTCCATCCATCTATCTGGCTATCTCAGGTACACAATCAAAGGAAAGTGCATGCAATGGTTTACTTTGAAAATGAAAGACCTTGTGATGTATTCTTCCTGATTAAACCATCAAAAAATTATCCAAAGACGATGGACTTTGCAGACTCCATCCCCAAACATTGTTTTATTATATTTGCTATTTCTTGGTTCTCAGGGAGCAAAATATGTACTCCTCAACCAACAGTACCAAATCAGTGATTAAAGCAAGATTGATTTAAAAAGCAGTAAGTGGGACCATCTTTAAGCTATAGTTGTTTTGGTGCTTAGAGTATCCCTTTAAACAAATAATACTTTCAAATGAACTTTTGATCAAATCAAAATGTACACATTCATAGCAGCTCTAAGGCAAACTCAGTAATACTCCCTTACCTGCAGCGTTTAAATGTGAAATATTATAATATAGATTGCAAAACAAACAAAACACGTCCATTTTCAAAGCCCATCTTTATGGTGTGATCAGGGAGCACCAATCATCAGGTCCCACTTGTGGGGTCTCGGGAAAAGCACATGGCATAGTAGAGAGTAATTTGTCTTCTCTTTGGTTTAATTGGGGTATGGGGACCTATTAAGTTATTAATTTATTATCTATGTATGAAGGATATCAACAACAACCAACTGTATGATTTTACAAAAGGGGATCACCAAATACATGGGTTGTTTTATTTGTGGGTCACAGCTTGGGGGCACATTCAATAAATTAACATTTAGATATCACCAACTGTAGCGACTGCAGTGCTGTACAAGCAGTACAGTTGGGAGGGGAGGATAGCTTGAAAAATATGAAGTCTGTAAATCATTGTGTAGACAATTTGCAAATACACCCAAGTTGTAGATGTTGGCCATCTAGATTTGTCTAAATTTAGCAATTTCTCAAATCATAGTTTGTGTATAAACCCTCAAGTCCTAGACATTACAGTTGATATATTCTGTAGCCGGTACAAAAACAGCAAGCTTTTCTCAGTGAAAAGTATTTTTTGGTTTGTTCTTTTGATTCAAGAGGACATCTAGTGGATGGATTTAAAACAGCTATTTTCTATATATATGAAATTAAATATTTTCACAGAAGAAAAATGAATTATAATTTTTTTTAATTCTGAAGCTGTGAGTATTTGAGTTAACTGACCCTCAGTTTAAAATATGTTGATTTTCTTTTTTTAAGCTTTATTTGGTTTTAAATGTTTAAAGGTACAACTGAAAAAAAGGAATAAACTGGTACAGACACTTGGCTATTGTACATTAATAAAACATACAGTTTTATTTGAACAAGCAAATAGCTGTGAGTAAGTGCAATTCGTTTGTCATTCAGACGTATGGAGCTTTATCACCCAGGTGTTCAAAGTCATACTAGACACTCCTAAAAAATATTCAATGATTCTTGTGCACCTATTTTCTCAGGCTCACTGGAACTTTGACCGGCCCACAGGTAAGTAGCAGAGGGAGTCTTCAAAATGAAAATGTCATTGAGTTCATATTCTTGCAGTAGTATCTACCTTGACTACGCTACTAAATCCAGATGAAGAAGTGCTGAATTGGAACATATGAATATCTGCACCTGGTGTCCAATGTCTTTCTATTCAGGTTCCTCCTTTGTAATAACTAGTGGTTTCCCACCAACCAGGCTTATCAGATGAGCAGGCTTCTTGCCCTGCACCACATGGATCTGTACTGGTCTACTACCAAGTATCATATCCAGACAAGCACGCAGGTATTCAGGAGCTATTATCTCATACTAAGTGGATTCATTTCCCTCCCTGCTAGATGTAGATAATCTCTCCTTTTTTTATAATCATAAGGGTGTGGCATGGTATGACTGTCTCCTCTGAAATTATCTGCTTTTTTGTTTTTTTGTAAATTTCTTTTTATTTAGAATTTTCAGAAGAAAAAGTAAAATTATGGTGAGACACGCAGGTTTGTAAACCATAAGCTTTGCATGTGGACATACAGGTCCTTGTGCAATAACATTCAATCATTTCAAAGAGCATGTTTTGTGGACCAGAAGGATGAGCGTTATTTCATATCAAGTTTAGAAACAGGGATGCAGATCTGCATTTTGCGTGTGCTGAGCCATGGATTGTGACTTGGTGGAAGTGCTGACATCAAAGGCACAATATCAATTTTGCCAATGTGGTTGGAAACATAAGCAATGCTCATCCCTTCAGTTTTTTGTCTCTACTTCTTGAAGAACTATTTGTATAGTGGGGTCTCACCACTTGGACCTGTGTTTGTTTAGGGTAGCCGTTTTTTAGATTAAATATGTGGCAGTTTTCAAAGCATTGTTGTGTTCTTCTAAGTTGGCATTCTTTCATTTCCATGCAAATATCCTTCAATCCGAGCCATGTTCCAAGACAAAACAGTCATTGGGGAAGACTGAGTGGGTTTTCATCAGCCACCAGAGACACAGACATGGTGCTAGTTCCTTTTGAAACTTTGTAAATCTTTACAAGTTTCCTGTTTGAGTAATCTGCTTAAACATTATCTGACATACCTCCTGGTAAACCTAAGGTTGGGTATATCCGAGAACCTCAATTATTTCCTTTTGCTTCATCCCTTCTTCGATCATGTATACCATGACACACCTATGTCTCTTGCTGTCCCAAATATCTTTGGCAATGCTTGTGGCGTTTAATTTCTAAAAGTGGTTTGCATTTGACCCACACAATTGCAGATTTCATCATCAAGAGACATCAATCTTTGCCCTGTGGGAGGTGCCTGATGGAACCATATGTGTAAAGCCAGAGTATTTGATATCAATCCCTGAACTTCACAATTCTGCATTGGCTGTTTCCCAATGGGATTGTCTATTTAGACTGTGTCTATGGCTGCTGCCCCGCTTTCAACTTGTGTTGTCACATTACCCCGCTAGTAGTGGATGTTGTAAAGATTCCCAGATTCTTGTTTTATAATATTTAGTACATGACAGGAAACACCAGGAAAGAAAGATCCATATTGATTTTGAAAAACAGCCACATTTCTCTACCCTCAGGATCTGGAGACATGGTGCCTTTCTAACATTCTCAAACTCTTAGTGATTAACCCCCATTCCAGAATCCGGAAGAGGTACCTCTGTGCAGAGAGACTGGGAAGATGCAGCAAGGTAGAGAGTAGTACGTTTGTTGTTTTGTTAGCCAATTTGTTTGTAGGATATTGGGAGGAATGGACTGAGGACAGGCTAGGTCCTCTGGAGTTGTTTAACGCACAATAATTTTTTTGTGTAGCAAAAAACAAGACAACTGCCTTCATCAAGGGAGCATTTTCGCTGAAACGTTGGGGGAATTTACCTGATTATCCCCCCTCTGTCATTATCCTTGCATTTATTCTCACAATGTTGGTATGTATTTTTGTTTGTTTTCCTTGATAATATTGCATTTTTTTCATGACTTGTGGGTGGCATCTAACAAATTAACTTAATTTATCATTGATGCATAATATTTTGGGTTGTGTAGTTTGTTTTTTCCAACATATTATTTATGTTTCTTGAGGTATTAATTATTCATTTTGAATAATATTGTGTGTTACTGCATATTATATTAGCATCACTTTGTTAAAAGTGTCTTTTGATTTTTGTCATGGAGACTATGTGTTGTTGGTGTCCTTAATAAAGTTAATTGATTTACTTTTTATTGGTTGTGCTCCCCATTCTGTTATATATCTATTCTGTGTTTTGGTTCTATGGGGAATAGGACCTTTTGAGTGAGTACCCAGATACTATTGCTTACAGGTTTATTCAGTGTGTCTATTCAGTTTAGTGTGCCTCGTTGGCTGCCTTTTTAATTCCTTAGCAATGTTCTGAACCTGAAACTCTACATTTCAGCTGCACGCTATCACCATGCCCTTGATTGGATAAGAGGATCTGGAAAATTCACTATATTATCCATAGAAACACAACTGTGTCCTGGAGCAGCACTTTCCCAATTGCTAGATACTCCCTATGTCTTCCTCCAAGAGGAGGCACAAGAAAATCCTCTATTGTCATCCACTATCCAAGTGTAGAAGTTAGTGAGGCAAATTCCAGGGCTTCAGTAGCAATACACCAGATTCATGCCTTTTTTACATAACCCAAACTTTCAAGATGAGGAGGCTCAATAATCCTACAATTCTTGGGAGGCCGCAGGCTATGCTAACATACAGAATTTCTTAGATGACCATAAGAACTCAATTATTTCATTAAAAAAATTAAACAGATTTCCTGACCTTGATGTTCCATTCTTCGCATACCTGCAAAATACCTCCACAGCCTGATTGCCACTATCCTTCCCCACTTTAGTTCTACAAATTCAGATCTTTCCACACACTATATTTAAAAAAAGTATAATATTTATTAAAAACAAGTTTAAGATAGAGATAACGTTTTTTGCAAAGCTGAGAAAATAGATTTGTACACATACCGACAATATAGATTTTAAAATGTTTAAAATGTCTAATAAACATTCATGGTGATATGAGAAAGACCTAAGCAAAATATAAACTAATAGAGTAGGCATGGATAGTAAAAAGGGCGTTGGGGCCGGGAAGGACCCATATATTCTTCGCTAGAGGACTAAAATAGATGTAACTATATATATTTGGTGCACATCCTTAAGTCTGAAGTCTATTTTTAGCTAGACACCAGCTTGTTTAATCAACCATCCCATATCTTATATTTTTTTGTGAGAATTCAGACACATCCCACAAATGCCTCTCTCCATTTTAATTTAGAAATTAAGTTGGGATTTCCAGTTATGACAATTACTATTTTAGCAGTATTTTAGCCTTTAATTGATTATTTCTAATTGAAATAGCTAGGTTCAAGTGATATAATATATATTGTAGGGGATAGTGGACAACCCTACCTTGTTCCATTTCCCAGGGAGAACCATTCAGAGCAAATGTTTGATCCCACTATTCTGGCAGTAGGAGAGCTATACAATGACATTATTGCACGATTTATCCATCCATTAATTCCAAAATTCAATAAAAACATGAATTGCCAACCAACTGAATTGTTAAACACTTTTTCTGCATCTATTCGCATAGTCAGAAGGGACAGGCCAGATTTATTAACAGAGACTAAAATGTCTACTATTCACTTGTATTAAAAAATAAAGCTCTGTTTGGTACAAAACCAATTTGATCTGGATGTATAATTGTTTTAAGTATATTTTTTAGTCTTTCAGCTAATTCAGCAGAAAAAAAAATGATCTACATTCAATAGAGATATAAACTATTTTTGTAGGGCATTTGCCTGGTTTGAGTATTGTGATTACATTGGCTCTGACTAGCTCTCCACGGAAACCAATCTGAGCAATATTAAAAACTTCTGTTAAAAGATGGACAAGAAGAGTCTTAAATGTATTGTAGTATATATTACTAAATTCATCAGGACCTGGAGCTTTGGAGAGTTGCAATTTATTGGCCTTGATAATTTCATCGCAAGAAATCAGGACAAATAATATTTGTTGTCATTCCTTGGAGGAATTCAATTTATTCTTGATCTTATCTAATCTGTTAATGTTAGTGTAGTATATAATTCTAAGTCTCTCCATATTTTTTGATATCTTCATTAGCTGTATCTCTTTCATTTTTTCTTTTATTTGCAATATCTCTGTGCCTGGTTGGCATTTTGCCCCCTCTGACATCACTTGCCAGGGGGTGGATGCACTAATACTCATGTGCGGTGACACCACAAGCACCTCAGGCCATCCCCAAAAGATGCTGCAATGCTTTCCTGTGAGGAATTGACTAACGCTGGATCTCCTCATGCAGAGTGAGAGGGCGAAGAGCCTCAGATAGGTGACCAAAAGTCACCTTACCACAAGGATGTGCCTCTAGTGGCTATCTCATTGACAGCCACTAGAGAAAGTTTTAACCCTGAAAGGTAATTATTGCAGTTTTCTCAGAAACTGCAATAATTAATTACCATTGCAGGATTAAGGGAACAGGATAACTTCGCCCAGACCACTTCAATGAGCTGAAGTGGTCTGGGTGCCTATAGTATCCCTTATCGTCCCCTCTTTAAATGCACCTGTGGTTCTCAGGCCTAGCTCTAGTTGATTAGCCCCAGGACTAGCGGGATTGTGCAGCTAGCCAACAGGTACAACAACTCTGTCACTGGGATCCCTAGAAATTCAGACAGGACGCACAGTTCCAAAGGAACTAAGATACACAGCTTTATTTTTAATCGGGTCTAGCACATGTGCTCATTACATGTAATTTTGGCGACAACTCAATAAAAATACAAACAATCAAATCCCATTAGACAACATACTGGAACTAATAACGATATATTTATAAAGGGGTGGGGAAGACAATAATTAACACAAAATATCTCTCCTGCCTGCACATTTAGCAATATGCAAATCTACCTGAATGAGCCTTGCTTTTCAAGTATTGCATTTAGCTGTTACTACCATCAGATGGCGCAACACAGGATCCATTGCCAAATCCACCTAGTTGGTAACAAGCATCAGCAGGACAGTAGAGCACACAAAACAATTAATAATAAACACACATTACACACACCCTGCACCTATAATGGGCACAGGGTGACTTAGACATAGGAGTAGTCCAGAGCCCTACATTAAGTGTCTGTATGGAACTCCAGGTGATGGTGACTACCATCACAAACTGGATTTGCTCTCTTTAGAAAAAAGGCATCTCAGAAAAGATATGATAGCAATATACAAATATATACAGGATCAGCACAAACCGCTATGTGCTAACCTGCTTATTAGCAGGAATATACAACAGGCAAGAGGTCAGCCATTGAGACGGGAAGAAAGATGTTTTCACTTAGCAGAGGAACGGGTTCTTTACAGTGAGAATCATGAAGATGTGGAATTCTTTGTCTAAAAATGTTGTGATACATTTTAAAATGCTTGGATACTTTCTTGTATAAAGAGAATATTCAAGGATATAATCGATATGTATGTTAACAGGTTTTTGATCCAAGGAGAAATCTGATTGCCATTATGGAGTCAAGAATGAATGTTTCTCCCTATTTGCGGCATAATTGGAAATGGCTGCAATTGGGGCTTCTTTTGCCTTTTTTTGGATCAACAGCATAAAACATTGGGCTTCACGTTTGAATTTGACAGACTTTAGTCTTTTTTCAACCTGGTCTGGCTGCAGTGCCCCTGCAATCAAAAACACTGCTGTTTAGTAGATACGGCAATGTTTTGAAATCAGGGCTTAACCCCTTAAGGACCAAACTTCTGGAATAAAAGGGAATCATGACATGTCACACATGTTATGTGTCCTTAAGGGGTTAAAGTGGTACTGTCTTACTAAAATTCCTGTTCACTAAAATTCCAACAGTCAAGAGACAAAGTATGAACTAAAGCAAGCATGACAAACTCAAAGGCTAATACGGGCCAAATAAACAAGGTTTATGTTTATGTGGGCCGCAAAAAAAAAAAAAATTTTCATAGAAACTTATTTTGAAAACAACAGCATAAAAAAATCCCCAGCAACCCCCTATACTGAACCTGAGTCACCCCTCTACTAAACTCCAGCCCCTCCTTTACTAAACTCCAGCCCGGCCTCTACTAAATCTCACACCCCTTAAGTCCCAGTCTCCCATTCTACTAAATCATAGTCCCCCCCTCTAACTAAACCCCTGCCCCTGTTTAATTTTTTTTTTTTTTAAATACAATATTAGCCAACAAGCAGACTCCACTCACATTGCCGCTGCCAGCATCTGACCCCAGAATCTGACTGTGGCGGAACCAACCTCGCCACTATGCACTGGAGAAGCCTGGTTGCCAGCCTCCTGCCATGTGACTATGGCCCCTGGGATGTATTGCCCTTTAAAGACATGATTTGGGCATAATGGATTTGTGTTGTGCTGCTGCTGGCCCTTTTAAGAACCATCTGGGGACATACTGTGGAGTTACTGGGTGGCCACCATTTCCTGTATCAGAAGCACATGGTGAGAACAATGGATGGCGGCCATTTTAACTCACAGACACTGTTTGGACTTTTCAACACGGTGCCATCTCGCCAGTATTTGTTGCACAGAGACATCGTGCGGTGGTTTTGGACTATACAGCAGGGGACACATTATACAGTGATTGTTTTTTATTTAGCCTGTATATGTTCTGCAGAATCTGCATTAAACTGTATTTTCCAAAGTACTGAACGGATCTGGGTGAATTTTGGATATGTGGTTCACCCAGATCCCCCAGTTCCAAGGATATACTTTTATGGGGTTATTGCATGTTTTGGGGTCCCTGTGATGTGTTTTATGAAACTGTATTTCTCAGAGGGGAGGATTTTGTGTGGGAGTGTCTGGGTGTATTGT